TACATGTCCTCCAACTATTCGCTATGTTTCTCTTCTTTCAGGAAAATGTGCTCATATAACTTATATGTTATATATGATATTTTCTATGTTGAGGAAGGCATTAGTTTAAAAAATTGAATGTTAATGTACTAAATTTATTACGTATGTGGTTCATGTCACAAATATGGTGTTTTTAGAGTCAAAGTATTATTCATATGGCTACGACAGTAGACACTGCCTTCAGTTTTAAGGCTTTTCTGTTCTCCCATTTAAAAAAAATACACTATTATCACATTTATGTGACATAGAAACTTTAGTTTCAGACTTTCTTAATGTCATTAAAGTTTTAAAAAGTCTGAAATGCCAATGAAGCTTCACTATTAATGAAAGCAAAAGAGTAGTCAGGACCTAAGAATGCCTAGGAAGGCTCACTTAGCAACACTTCCAAGAGACTCTCTTCTCCTCTTAACCATGCTTCCTGATTCAGAGAGATGCTTTTACTGCCTAATAATTTACCTTCTTAAATGTGATTGTTTAAAGAAAATTTACTTTATCACAAATATCAGATCTCTTTCTTTTTTCCTCAACCAAATAGGAACTGTTGCGAATCGAGGAAATGTATAGACTTGAATTAGACTTCCCTTTCTATTCAACATTTATATTCAAATATTTTATTTCGCAGGAGTTGGAGACGTCAGAAATGACAGATCCAAGAACGGACATTTATAGACAAATGAGAAAATGAGTTCCTCTTTTTCTCCTACTTTCCTGGCAACTAATTCTATACTAAAATGTAAACAACAGGAAAAAGCTTGATTGAGTATCCGTAGCTCATTAAAATTTTTATTTTTTAGTTTCCCCCTCCCACCCCCCCAACCCCCCCAGGCCCACATGTTTGAATTCGAGCCTTTTAATTAAAAAGTATATCTCTACAATCAGTGGACATTCTGCACTAACAGGCAGAAACATTTCTGTAACAAAATAAATACTGCATTTGGATAATAATCCTCACATAAACCTATATATCTTTGACATGAATTAAGAGAAAACACTTTCTAAGTTCCTAACTCTGTCAAAAGTATATACACCTCTTTAAAAAATTATGAGTAACTTCTTTTCAAGTCTCTTTTTTTTCTCTCTCTCTCTCTCTCAGTGTACTCATTCTGTTTTGGTCATTTTCTGTGTTATGGCCCCTATGATACTAAACAAAGTAAATATATATTGAGAATCTGGTTTAATATAGAACAAATTTTTAAAAGGTGCTTATTTTCTCCCTTTTAAGTGCCTACTAAGCCCTGTTTTAAGATTAAAATTTATTGTATTACATAAGTATTTTGGAGGGAAATGAAAAGGAATGGAAATATGGCATTTTTAGTGTAAAGAATCTATCTGTTTCTGATCCAAACACTTTATAAAAGCTCTCAAGGTTACTTAATCATTATGATTGACTTAATAATCCTTACCAAGTCACTTTTTTTCTTGACCTGTGTGTAAAAAGATCAACAGGTTACAAGAAGTAAAAATAAGCAGAAAAAAGGAATTGGGGTGTTAGTAACTGATAAATATTTTTTAAAAGATTTTTCTTTGTATGTATACATATATTTTGAAATTTGATCACTTTTAACTCTTTGTTTTTCTATAATTACATAGGTAAATTTATGACAAAATTATATATTTTTTGTTATTAGACTATTTTAAAACAAGTATCTTTGGGAGTTAGCATAGTACAGTACAGTGGGCAAGCATATTGACTCAGAAATGGAACATTAGAGGTTCATAGTTCCACTTAGATATATTACTTTGGACAAAGGAAGATAGTTAACTTCTTCGTGTATTAATTTCTTTACCTATAAAATGAGGATAATTGTAGTACTTGTCTCAGCAAGTTGTAAAGAGATTAAGAATGCCATGTAAACATAACAGATGTCAAGCATACAGGAAGCACTTGATATTTGCTCTTACGTTAGCTATTTTTTTTTCTTACAGTCTTACATACATCTATGTACAACTGTGCTGCTTTTCTACACATCAGCCAAGATAGATGATTTCTACCTCCCAAATATAGACACTGTATTTTCCTTCTAGAGATATTGAGGGATTTCTCAAGCAGGATTTTGGCTGATAATGTTACATTTCTGGAATACCTTTGGAAATGCTCCCTTGAAGAGGAGTCTATTTAGCATAAAAGACAAGAGTGTGATCCAGCACTAAATGTACTGGACTAAATATCAGTGCTACCAATGATAACATTGGATAAACCACTCGATTTCTCTATGTCTTAACTTTTTCCATCTGTAAAATATGATTCTCCACCCTATCTCAGGAGCTGGAAGATGCAGGTTAAACATGGTTTGTGATTTACTATAAGCTATAGAAACTAGAAACAATAGTATTGTTCAATGTATTATGAGCTACCAGATAAGTATTTTTAACAAATTCTTATTGAAATGACAGGCAAGA